ATAGGTCTCTTCTGGCCGCAGTACCGGCTGTTGGGCAATTTTAACGTCTACTCTTTAATAAGTGTTATTTAGAATACATATAGAGTAGAAAAGTATAGAGTTCTGCGCTAGAGAAGAGGATCATTGCAACTATAATAGAAAATGTATTATGTATTTAAGATAGTTGTAGCACATAGTGGGTGGGATCGTTTTACTTTGCTTAATAATAAAATCCCTGATATTCTACCATATTCGATATTAACATTTATAAGAGATAAAAATATCAATTTGATTTTCAGGTAATAATTTTTCTTAACATAGAAATAAACATAGCAATTGTATCTATGTAAAGATTAACAATTATCGGTTTTGATATGACTAAACTTCTCATGTATTTTATGGGAAGTGTCCATAGCACATACTTTCCATTTAAGTATGTGATACTTTCTTTTTATGTGAAGCGTAGAATCTCTGTTATGTGGAGCTTATATTGAATATAGAACCTTTCGGATTTCACCTAAGTCTCAGTTGGACAATATTGTTATTTGATCTTCTTAGAGCGTGCTCTATTAGGCCTTATTTTTTTTAATTTAGCCTGTCTGATTGATGTTTGATATTTTTGGGGCCACTAAATCCAGACAATTCTTTGTACAGATTGTCTTAAAGTATGTCTGAATTTTGATTTCAATCGTTATGGAGCTCTTCCATGTTGGTATTGACCGCATATCTACGGCCGTATATCTATTTCTACACCACTTTGCCTACTCAACACCAACATGTATTGTTTATTTTAAGTTAACTGATAATTCTAACCTTTAATATTTTCATTGCAATGCAACAATCAATACGAAAAAATGCGAAAAGGTGACTCACCAACGGAAGTCAATACTATAAAAAAGGAACGTGCCGATTTCAACTTGAGTTAATTTTAGCTTAAAAAAATTTGTACTTGAATGCGAAATTATCTTAGCCAACTTCATTATCTAGCTATGAAAAATTCTTCTATTATTTGCCAACTTCAGGAATTTAATTAGTGGAAAAAGGTAATTCACTACTGTAAACATTAAATTGTAACAAAAAATTTAATTACCTTTTATTTGGTTAATAAAATAACAAATTAAGAGCTGTTGACGTTATGCAAATAATTATTTTACCGCTTAAATCCAGTTAAACTCTTCGTATGCCCCTCATCCATTCGAATGAGATTTAATTATTTACAAAACTTAAAATACAAAACGTCAGAAACAAGTCGCGCAAACACCTGAGCTCACACGCTTCCATATACGCACCCATGTACAGCAGCCATGGAAGGCACTGTAACGTCTGTTGACTTAAAACTAATTAGAATAGTAAACGTGGAAGCAGTCTCACAGATAACAGATTCTGAGTTTCGTTTAAGCACAACAAACTAAACAACAACAACAAAATGTTTAGAAAACGAAAGTACGTTTCGGGTGCAGAAAGAAGACACCCGTCGTAGAAAGAAAGCATAGAGCACATTTGACATTTGACTTACCGGATCTGTTCGACTCTCTTCAAGCAACTTCAGTTTCATGTCTTCTGCTTTGGCGTCTGGTGCTGCTGCCTCGGAATTGCTGTGTTGGTTGTCGTAATAGAAACGTGAAGTTATTTGACCACATTCGCAGGTGTACTGACCAGTCAATGTGGTCAAGAATAGCACTACGAAAATGCACTTTGTTGCTTCTGTGCTGGGCATATTTGGTTATAGTTTTTGTTTTCGCTTCTTAAGTTGGAGTTTCTTGATATCACAGATTTTTTCAGCTTTTATTTGTTATGTTGGATGTGTTGATGTTATGTCTTTTATCTTATGTTTACCAGAGACTTACGCTGTCGCTTATGTTTTGCTGTTAAATAGTGACGTTTGTTTTTATCTATTCTTTAAGATTCCTTAAGTACACAACTGAAATATATATATTAGAAAAAGGGCACATTAGGTTAGCGTTTCAAAAGTGCATTAACTTCTAAAAGCAAATAAACCGAAAATAAAGTTAGTAGAGCACTTGGCACTTGGCACTTGGCTTATGTATTCCTTCAACGGGTGCTAAGATGTCATAGTTTTGATTTTCTTATTTCTGTTTATATTTTTTTAAAATTATATGTCTAATTAATTGAACAGAATTTATTTAAAGATTAGTAAAAGCAATTTTTTATAACCATTTTTAACTGAAAAATGGACTAACTCGTAAATAGGAAAATAAGTACTATTATTTCAAAGAATCAATCAGTTTATCAATTTCGTCTTAACAATTCGGGAAAATCTACATTAATAGTTCACGAACATTGTTAAAAATGTCTATGTAATAACTTTTCATTACTTTGTAAATGCTAACATTAATTTAGAATTCAAATTAAGTTTAGAATCTCCGATTATTTTAAACGTATCATAAGATCAGAATAAAAGCAAACTTTCCTGCACCTTCTCAAATCTTTGAGATCATTTACTCAAATAACAAAATCATACCCTAAAGATATCATACTGCTTATGAATTCTCCTACAGAATAGAATTCGTGTCAATAATGAACTGAACCCTTTCATTTCACTCAGCGTACAGTCAGTGTTTAACTTAAGTTCAGTCTATGTCGAAAAACATAAGTAGTCAATTGCATTCATCTTCCTTTATTTTAAAGGTCACTACAGTTTTAAGTTGATAATTAGGCAAAATTAGTGCCGCCGATATTCAATAATAGAGATCTAGATAAATCTACACTGAGAGCAGCTATTACTGCCTTATGGTGAATTACATAGTAGACAATAAAAATGGAGTTCCATCCTAATATTAATTGTCACATATTTATTGTATCAATGGTGGAAAGGCGTAAAGGGATAGATTCTCCCTTGACAATATAATCTACAGTTAATAACAACCATACAATTTTGATATATTGTATTCTTGTTTTATAATATTTTGATATATGTAATTGATAAATGAAACTGAAGAAACAATGGCAAATATTATTAGCTATAAATAAAGACAGAAGAGTTAGTTTCAGTATTTGATCAAAAAGTAACTTTAAGTAGGAATCTTGAAAGCAGCATCAATCCGCCAGAAGCAAGGATACCTATTTCACTTTTTGCTGTACATACTTTGCTCATAAGATGTAGAGAACAACCACCGTAGGTAACCCGTTATTTAATAAGGTCGGGGAGACTCTATTTAAGCGATTAGTCTACACAAACAAACATACAAAAACTTGATAACGGGGATGTGGTATCAAAACGGTGTGAAAGCGCTTATTGAGTTCACGAACTGAATCATCAAAAGTGATTACCCCGATGAATAACGTAAGACCTATTTATTTCCGATCACCAATATGTTATATGTATTAATATATTATTAACTATGATCAACCAATATATGTATTAATATATTATTATCAACTACAAAATTTAAAATTGTACTAATAAAGAAAGAAGCTAACTTTCAAGGCTTTAGTTCATAACTTATATAAAAAATCGTACATTTAGTATTGAAAGCTCATTACCCTTTTTTAAGTTACTAACTCTGTTTACATGTACAGCATGTCTTTAGTTGACTAATATACTTTCGATGGTTATCAGTCCACAAGTGTAGACATTACTCAATAATATTTCATTTCATTGA